AGAGCTGTTTTCAGGACGTCTAGAATAGAAAAGAGGACTTATGCAACAAGATCAGCTGTTACTTCCATCGATTGAATGTTGCTTCCTTGACTGATCATCATGAGACGAATACGTCATAGGAGATCGTAGGGATAATGTGATGAAATGGGCAGACATGAGATTGTATTGAGAATGCAAAGGTGATGAAAGACAAATTTGCACAGTTTGCAAAAATCGTTGGATTTCATAAAATATAGTGCTCGACATCCCCAGAGCAGTAAATTAGAGAGGAATGGAAACATTTTGAATGAGGAAAGGAAACTGTGCCTTTTAAGAAAAGTAGTGCTGTTTTGTGTTTTAGGGTTCGGTTCTGAGTGGAAACTATTCATGCAGGGATAGATCGGTGAGCGAATAGATAAACGAACTGAATGAATCATCCTAAATGAAGAAACCGTTGACAAAATTCATGACGAGAAATGATAATACAAAATTTGTAAGTGAATACGATTTTACGAACATTCATCAAACATCATGTGCTTACAAAGTCATTGAGAAAGAAAGTGCAATAACAAGTGGATGTGTATCTCACAATCCGTTTGTAGGTATGCAGCAGTATGTAACCGAAGTAAATCTAAATAAAAGTTCTGATGTGCTTCTTCAACAAGAACGATGAGAATAACATCGGTAAGTTGTTAGTGGGGAACATCAAAATTTTTTTTTCATATTTACTTAAATTTTTACATTCTATTTGTCATACGAAACGAGATGAATGAATCAAAACAACTCTTAAGAAGCTGAATAAAATCAAAATCAATCCCATCCAATTCAATCTCTTTATATTCAACGTTTTCGTTCACAGCATCATTGTTGCATCTGAACGTCTCTCTCAACGAACCTCAACTATTATACATTTGATAGCAAGTCATCAGACCTTCACTGAATATCGGTGAATATGGCACTTGATTGCGAAAGCGATCCAGGATGGCAGTTCCTCAGACTGAGTCGGGAACAAATAGCTAAGGTAAGTTATGTTTTGATCGAAAATTTGTCAAATTGCAGGTGTGAACCGAATAAAATAACTTGCGATGCGGATTTGACTTGTTTATATTCGAATGATCGGTATTAATGAGGGTAATTATAATATAATGAATAGCATTCAAAACACTTTCTAAATCTGAGGTGAACAATGCGTGTTTTGCATTTGCTGATAGTTCTATTCCTTCAATTAAACTTGTGTATGTTGAGGGGAGATTAATCAAACTGGATTTTGGTACCGTAACCTCCTGTACGGCAGTGCTCAATGTTGACTGGCCTAGTGGGCCAGAGCTGTTCTGAAGGGCTGCCCCAAACTTTTGAGAGCGATTGTAAAGAGAATTTCGACGACAGCTCCAAAGCAAAATAGCTTACAAAGACCCTTTGAGAAGTGCATAAGGATATACCAGATTTCAATATTATCTTTAGATATCTTCAACGCGCACACTCTATTTATTGCAGGATCAGGCAGCTTCATACGATTCGAAAAAAGATGTGTGGATTCCGGATAAAGCAGAAGGATATATTGCTGCACAGATTGTTTCGACAAAGGGAGATCAAGTGGTCGTACAAACGGGTGATGGCAATGAGGTACGTAGCCTATTGGAAAATTCCATGTTGCGTTTGGCTGATCGTTTATATTTCACGTCGCTGACCGTTCACACTTTTGTGATGACATGATAAGCAGCTATGAATAGCCAAAGTTCAGTCTCGTTCCATGAGATATCACGTTTCCTCGAATGTTCTCCTCTTTGACGGGACTTCTTCCTTAAGGAAATCCTCCCTCCTAAAATTTGGTCTTGAGGAGTTACTTCTTGAAGACATGAATTCAGGATAATGTGACAAATGTTTTTCGGAAGGTCATTAAAAGCTTCAAAAAGCAGAGATTAAGCGCACTTTTAGTTTAATTCATAAATTTCTGATCAGCTCATTTACTATAATATGCAGGTGAAGATAATTCAAATGTCACTTGCGTTCTATTGAGCGATGAAACCGAAAGTGTATTGGAACGAAAGATGCAGTTTTATGGTGAAAAATCTATATTAAACTGTTCGCGAGTAAAATGCTTTCAGAAGACACTGAAAAAGGATTTTTGTACCCAAATGAACCCACCGAAATTCGAAAAGACAGAAGATATGTCGAATCTAACGTTTCTCAATGACGCATCCGTTCTGCACAATCTTCGAGCGCGTTATGCAGCTATGCTCATCTATGTGCGTAATTCATTGCTTGATTTATTGCACTCATTGAATTTTTCATTGTTTGAACAAGAGTACGGCAAGAGTTATTTCACTGAGTTGTGATCGTACACATCCGATGCTGTCACGTGGCATCATTGGATTTGAAAACACCGAAAATGGCCATCTTCATTGTCAGATTATGAACACATTCAGTTCGTATTAACGACAGTGCAGAACAACGCTGAGAAATGGAGTATTTATTACATCTCGCCGACATAAATTAGTGAAAAACCTAACGAATGATGTCGTATTATCGTTTGCAGACATACTCGGGTTTATTTTGTGTTGTCATTAATCCGTATAAACGCCTACCGATCTATACGGATTCCGTTGCGCATATGTATATGGGTAAACGACGAACTGAGATGCCGCCTCATCTGTTCGCAGTATCTGATGAAGCGTATCGTAATATGCTACAGAATCATGAGAATCAATCCATGCTTATCACTGGCGAATCTGGTGCTGGAAAGACTGAGAACACTAAAAAGGTACCAATGGAGATGAATTTGAACAGAATATGTCTTTCCCTTACCAAAAGATTTCTTCACAGTAAGATAGAGGAGTATTGTTAATGTGAAGACTAAAACACTAGTTTTTGCATTCAGATATAGTAGAAAATAAGTGCTGTTAGGTGTTGCGGAAAGAACTAGAAGTAAATGAAAAGATTGGTACACACTCGGTTCACTGAGAAGCACTCAATATTCTTTGTGTGTTCTTTGAGTGAGTAAATGAGAGCTATTGTATGAGAGTAGGTCCATAGAATGAATCCGTTGACAATAAAGCATTCTTGAAGGTGATAGCGTATTTTGCATCAGTGGGCGCAAGTCAGCAAGGTCTATTGCCAAACAGTGAA